AAATTGCTGCCACCTTGTAAGCTTCCTTGCTATGCGCCGGGAGGAAACCGTCTTCCAAGGTAACTACTGTAAACATCAGATTTGAACGACCGAAGAGGTTTGAAGCGCGGGAAGTTGTAAGTTAACTAGCTGCTTCTCTGGTAGCCCACGCTCTCGCCATTTAATCCAGCCTTTGTCTTATCATCTCGGTAAGCTTCTGCTTCCATTGCTTCGTCTCATTCATGGTTCGGTGGAGCACTGCGTTTCCCACGTCACATCTTCATCCAGGTAGTGAACGCTGCTTGTCAATCATTCTTTCTTTTTGTTATCCTATTTCCATGATATTGCATCAGTTCACTTGTATTATATCATTATTTCGTATCACAATGATTGCATAGTCTCATCCATTAATATTATTTAGTGGCCCTGTTAGGTAATGCAGCGATAACCACGCATTAATGGGTATACTTAATTATTTATGTGCCTGCATAGTACAATCGTAGCATAGCATACTCCTATCACAGAGTAGATAATGTGCCCTAATCCTGATGTGCCCGTGGGGGCCAACAGATATCTTCCTGCGTAAAGCGTCCCACTATGCGCGGCACATTCCTTAAAAGGGCGTGGGCCACAGTAACACCCATGTCCTACATGGTCCAGGGCAGGGCGCTGCCGATGCACTCCTAACCCAGCCTAGTCACGACAGCTTCGGACATTTCAGTTTTCTACATGACAAGTAGTTCGCGCACTCGTGAGCTGTCCTCCCACCAAAAATTAGAGGCTAATGTAATACTGCTACAAAATTGCACAATGGCCCCTCCCACGGCATACAACGCTTTTCCTGACATATGAGATCTGAGTTCTGAATGTGTTTTCTTCAGATCCTGTTTTCCCTTCCGGAAGGACTCATAAAGGATGTTGATCCATGGAACTTACGTCTTTGGAACGTAAGCGCCAGATCTGTTTTCGATCAAGTGCAAATGTTAACCGCTCACAACGAGCTACAACTTCGCAGTTGCGACTGTAAGCTTTTTATAGAAATTCTAGCCAAATAACTGTGTTAGGTTCATGCATCAACTTTGGAGCAGCTCACAAACGCGGTCTCACTAAGAGATTCAAGTAAGAGTATTTACAGTGCTTCTTGGGGACAATGACACGTTGCAAATGCTTGCAAATGAAAAATTCGACGCGGGAATCACTGAAATGCTCGGTGCATGCGGTTTCGCTATTTTTTATGTGAGTCGCTCTTTTTGTAAATACTTCTTCACCGAACTTCTTTTTGCCAGTTGTTCTATCAGGCGGCAGAGGTTGATAGTATTTTTGTAGTGCGGGCACGTCGTATAAGCATTAGGGATCTGGGGGGGGGGGCAGTATTCGGCCACTATGAGGAGGGGATCGTCCACATACTGATTTCTTTGTTCGCTGCTCCAAAACTCTGTTATCCAATCTCTCAGGTGTGTTTCGACCACCCAGCTTTGCAGTTTGTTTAATACCAGTGTTGGAAATGTCCTTTGCAACTCGAATTTTCTTTTGAGAATAACAGTCGGTTCCAGAATATACCGTCCCTTATTGTGTTCGCGCGCAGCGATTTAACATGTCGTTTGCTTATGGCCCAAATTCGTGGGCTTATGGCCCAAATCCCTTAAAGCGGGAGGCGCGGCTGCGTATTTTCTTCTAACATGGCGGAGGATGGGTTATTTGTGGGATAGTTCCATTTGACAACTCTCGTCTTGTCTTCCATTGAACAAAGACATTATGACAGTCGTCTTAAAATGAAATATTCCACTGGAAGCGCTGGTGCCGCCTAAAAATGAAGCACATAACTATGCCCAAGCAACTAAAGGATCTTGAGTATATTGGCGTGACGTCAGGGTGGATCGATTGTAGTGGTATTATACACAACCTTGTTCAGAAAGCCGGCATCAACCACATGATTGCTGCGTCAGCTATGGGTGTGGTGGACTCGATTGGCGAATACTATGATCTGCCAAAATTCCCCAGCATTGCACCATGTTAGTCCATTCTGTCATACCATCACATGTATGTCAAATGCTTTGTATGTTTGTTAGTGGAGCTATCTGGTTCTACTAAACTTCAAAATTGATATTGCAAAGATGGTACCTACTCCAATAAACAAAGAAAATGAAACACTGAAATAGGGCTTATTCAAAGCAATGCGAACATATCACACATCAGGCAAGAAACCTCAACCGGTTTCGAAAACAGACTGTACGCTCACCTCCGAAAAAGGTCTTTGCCATGTTTGAGGCGAGCAGATCCGCAGCTGCTGTAGCTTGCCATTATATCGCTAAATGGTGCACGGTGACGGGCTAAGGGGTAATGAAACTCGTGCACCGTTTCCATACTCCACCCGCGCTGTCCTCAAGGTGCAGTACTTGCGTCTGCACTAAAGTTTCTCTGATGAATACGCACTCAACGGTAGAGAGCAACCAGAATTAAAGAGCGTAGATAACTAACGCGTTTGGCCAGTTAGACATGCGGCCGGTAGTGCGGCAGCGTGAGCGTAGTATGATTACGGCACCCGGGTACTGCTTTCCAGCCCCATTCCCGTGCTTTTTCTGGCTGGAGAAAGACGCATGCTGCTGCAGCTGTGGACCCATTCACCTCACATATCAAGGGTCAGGACCACGAAGGTGGATGCACAGTACATCTCTAACATACGTCCACATTAGCAAACTGAAAGAGCGCCCTACCTGCTACAGTTATACCTGGCTGCTTCAAGTCCACGCTATAATGTTCTCATGATCACATGCATGCTGGGTTAAGGGCACAAGTCTTGACCAGACGGGACTCGAACCCGCAACTCACCTTTCCGGACAAGTGCAGTTCAGTTATCATCACGCCATTAGAGCCGCTCTGCTCTCTCAGCTCAACGATTTTGTGCCCTGGCCTTACACCCACTTTTTTAAAGTGGTAATCGTGTTCGAGCCCCACCTGGGGTCAAGACTCCATAAAATAGCTTTCTTGTGATAACTTTCCGAACGCGAACGGCGGCATTAATTAGCTCTTATCACGCTGAAACCAATTTATTTGATCATTTCAGCATTTCTTCTACCGTATAGCGATCGAATGAGTTTCCTAGAAAGAACAATCAACTTCATCACTATTGCTTTTGCTGATTTGGTCTCATCAGAGATTGCAAGGAAGTACAAGGTGAGTTCGTTAGATCGCGTACCTTCGGAATCACTTGGCTTCCCATTTCGACCACTTCCACGTTGTACTGCGAATATCGT